TTAGGTCATTTAAGAGCAGCAAACGCGCCATTTGGGCGCTTTCAGCACCTTTGGCGGGAACAGCTCCGTCTTATAATAATGAGTTTTGCGCCATCTGCTGGTGGACAGCTGAAATGGCTTTTCGCACTAAGCTGTAGCACATAATGTCTCTAAAAAGGAAGACACCGCCGCAGGTTTAGACTACACCTGCTCGATGTCAGCATGCTTGGAGTACATTTAAAGTACATTCAACAGTGAAGAAACTAGAAAAAAAAAAAAAAAAAAATCCTACAATAAGGAATCATATCGTAATTAACAGACATCAATATTATTTATCGGTACACATGTTTATACCCAATATCCAACCATACTGGATAAGCGATTGAAGGATGGACGAGGGGACAAGTTTATTTATTTATAGCACCAGGAGCTTAGCCCAGAGACCTAGTCTGTCCGAGGATCATCATATAGAATTCTCTCTCTGTGTCTTTAGTTACAATGAACTACGAAAGATTTGTGAAACGCAGCCTTGTAGTAGGACTGCTGTGATGTATGGAATTCTCAAACTCAGAACACGGTTGTTAGAACATCAGAGCTAAACAAATCAATCGGGGCTCGTTGGAATTCATTCGGGACCTGAGCTGCGAATGCCCCAGGACAAATATATTTGTATATATTGTATATATTTATACATATTTTGGTCATATTTATTCTGGCTACGATTTTGTGTAATTTTATTTTGTATAACTAAGCAAATGAATGCACTGTGCTTTAAGAGCGACAATCAAGAGGACGGGTGAAAACGGAGGTAAAAGTACGTCAGCCAGAACCGCCACACCAGTAACTCCTCACAGCAAACAGTTTGCACACGAAAGCAATCCTTTGTGGAGATCGAGAGGAGAGGAGGTACAGCGGAGCACGCAAGTCGGACGTTGGTGTAGAGCGGGCACACCACGCAGCATCGGGCAGACTTGCCTTTCCTCCCGTTAACGGGCGTGCCCTGGGACCTCTCCTCGAATTCTTAGTGTGGTTTGGAAACACAGCACAGTTAAATGATGAGTTAAAAAAAAAATTAGGACCACGGAAGTGTCACTCCTTATGTCTATGCAAACACACACACGCCCGCGTGCACGCGCATTAAAATGCACACAGGCACATATACCTGCACACACACACACACACACACACCTCAAAATACAGGGTGGAGAACTGCCTAAAAGTTTTGCTCAAAGGATAAAAACTGAAAAAAAGGCTGGATCTGGCTTAAAATGTCATTCTACAATAGGCAGTGCGAAACAAAGGTTGTGTCTTTAACAATCCCAGAAAGAATGTTCCCTTTCGTAAGAGAAAGGGCATGCAAAACCAACTCATAGAGACATGGAGGAGTCAGACTGCAGCCGACTCGACTGCAGACAACTCAGAAGAACTAGGCACAAGAACAACCGGCGGTTAGCAAATAGAAAATGAACTTTCTCCCCTGCAAACTGACTGCGCAGCACGGATCAGACAGCATGGTAACTGAACTTCAGGGCTGGACTGGGATTAAAAATCGACCCTGGACTTTAGGGTAGATCCATGAGATCCACGCTACATTTTTCTCAGCCCAGATACTCCTCTGTACACCGGGAAAAAGCCTGGTATGCCAGATGGCCAGTGCAGCCCTGCATCTGATACGCGATGTGTCCAAGCAGCTACTAAATGTCTTTGTAAAAGAATGCTCTATGCATTTCTTCCTTTTGAGTTTTAGTCATTATAATATTATTTATTTTTACGATAAAAAAAAAATTATAATAACCTTTTTTTTTTTTTTTTTTACTGGAATAATGTTACGAGGTTTTAGATCACAGCATGTGAGGGAGCATAAGACTTCCAGGAGGAAAGGAGTAGGGAAGGAGAGGGGGGGCACCAAGCTCCGCCCATACAAGGGAGACACACCTGGGTCACCCTGGGGCTCGGACTCCTCCCCTGTTGGCTCTGAGAAGGCATGGTATGAGACAGAAAGGGTGGGGGCGGCTCCAGGCAAACACACACACACAAACACACACACACACACACACACATATATATATAAATATTATAGCAGACACGGGCAGAGGAGGGGCAATGGACATTGGTGAGATAAATGAAACAGTAACACTCTTGTGTGTGTGCACTCGCACAGAACCATTTCCCGTCTATGCCAAAGGCTATTAATTACACCACAGGGGGGTGTGTGTGATGATTTATTGCTTATCTTCCCCTGCAGAAGATATAGCGAGGTTATGGAGCTGTGCTGATTTGATTTTCCTTTTCAGGCGTGATGCGCTAGGCGGTGCATTCTTCCCAGGTCCGTGAGGGTCCTCAAGTTTCATTTGTTTGTCTTTAGCACCCCTTGCCCCCTCCCACCTTACATACCCCCCCCCCCCCCCCCCCCCCCCCCCCCCCCCCCCCCCCCCCCCCCCCAACTCCACACACCCCCACCCCACGCAGCCCCACCCTTCATCACCAGCTCCATAAAGCCCTTACAGCTGGCACATGACTCAGGTCTGGACTCACGCTGGGGTCACTGGGGACACGGACCGTCCCCCACAGAATATCACAAACAGTGGTACCTCGAAACTCGAACTTAATCCGTTCAGAACTCCAAATCGAATCCTAAAAAGTTCGAGTTCTGATGGAATTTTCCCCATAAGAAATAATGGAAAACCAATTAATTGGTTCCCGGCGCCAAAAAAATACACCTAAATATGTTTTTTTAGCATTTAAACACAAAATGAACCGGATAAAACAAGAAGGGCATATACTATACTAAACACATCTAAGCACATTTATCAAGACAGTAATTTGTAAAGTAAGAAAATAAATGTATCCAAACAATGTGTAAAGTTAAAAAAAACAATGTGTCCTGCCCCGATCGTCCGCACCATCCGTGTGCCACGCCCGCCCGTTAACCCTGTGTGGAATCCCCGTGTGATTGTCTGTTTTTGGTTGTTTTTATTAGCTCTCTGTATTTCGTCCGCGTTTCAGTTTGTTTCCCCAGTCCAGTCATTGTATTGTCCGTCTGCGTTTTGCCTGCCTTACCTGTAATTAAACCCCGTATTCCCCGATACCCTGACGTCTGCGCCTTTGTCTCCGTTCCGTCCCCACTCGGCACGACAATATTATTATAATTAAATGTATTAATGGTTTATTAATATTAAAATAATAAGAAATCTTTATTTTAATTGTATTTTATTATATAATAATTACTATTGTTATTGTTATTATCATTGTCTAAATGTATTTTTACTGTCTAAATTTATGTATTCAGCTAGTGTAAACATGCACGATGCAATCACAGGGAATGCGAGGCTGAGACTGAAGCATTACCCTTTGTTTCCACTGAGAGACGTGCCGCATGACTCATTTCCCCGCATACAAGTTATCTTAGGTCGGCATTCACGGTTTGATTCAGATCAAGCTCTAGGTAATTTTTTTTCAAACTGGTTGGTTCGACTTTTAAGAAATTCGAGTTCTAATGAGTTCGAGAACTGAGGTACCACTGTAATTGTGATTCCACAGATTCCTCTATAAATACGGAGCTATTCCAGCTTTTCGGGCCAGGCCCCAAGGCCCATCCCACACACAGTGTCCTGAGTGAGGCCCCTAAAAGCTGTAGAGCCCTGTGGTTATAAAGTCACTGCACAGGACTCCCAGATTTGGCAGACAGGACATCTGGGAGAGCTCTGGCAAGCCACGAGGCATTCGGCGGGTGAGGCATCACCGCCCTAACTTTATCTGAGAGGCCTTCCCTTGCTGTTGGACACAGCCATGTCATTCTGAGCTGAATATATCAATAATATTCCCCGGGGGGGGGGGGGGGGCGCCAACAAAAAGAAATGACAAAAATAAAAAAACAGGCATCCACATTTAAAACAAACTAATAAAATAAATATAATACTGCAGATCATCCATTGTTGAAGCCCTAACAGAGACCTTTTTAACATCTGAGGAGGTAGAATTTGTCCATTTTCTATATACAATATACACGATTAACCTTTGATTTTTTTTTCAAAGGTATATGCAAGAAATGCACAGTGTGATTCACCGTTGTCTGGGAGACCATTAGCTTCGCATTTCTTTTGCGTGGTAAATGCTGAATCACCTCACAGACGAGGGTGATTAATACAAACCGAGCAAGAGACAGGCACACCTAGAACGCTGAGGCCCCCAAGACAGTCAGGACGTCTCACGGCTGTGGGAGTGACAGACCCCAACACACAGCAGAAGGACAGAAAAGAGTCCATCCCCAAACCAGGGCAGCAGAGGGACAGAGACATCACTCGGGATCACACAACCGACATGTTCAGAAATCGGACGAGGAGAGATCCGGACAGAACCGGCACCTGAAGATCGCAGGGGCCTACTGAGAACAGGCTTGCCCGCTTAGAAGCCCATTCTGGGCTTATTTAGCAACACTAAGACCACACTGGAGAGTACAGACCTTCATAAGGCTCTTCTCCTTCGATTCCATCTTCTTGGGGGGGTGAGGGGAATGGGAGGAGGAACCAAGTAGAATTGTTAAATAAAGAGTTCCATAAAATTCTGATGGAGAACACAGACATGTTCTGCGACAGAGGAACGTGGGGACCAGGAGGCGAGGTCATTACGGGGCACAGAAGCACCTAGAAGGCCAGCGTCAGAAATGCACAGATGCACCTTCCAGACTGGTAGCTTAAACAGACCAAGAGCAAGTAGAGCTTTCTTCCACTACATCCAGAAACAACAACAGCAGAAACACTAAATACCGTTTCATTCAGCTAACATCATTTATTATTAATTTATCACTGGACCAAATTTACATATAGGTATGTATGTACAAACCAACCAGGTTTGGTGAAGCAGGGTATTTTACAAAGGGTATTCCTCATTTTTGCCTCCTCCATATTTAAATTGAAATGCAGAACATCTTCCACTGATCGGGTCTTTAGATGGAAGGGGGACTCAGCTTGACCTGTGGCTGATGGCCAGAATCCTTGGGAAAAAAAGATCGGATTACTTACTTCTTTCCAGTGTCCCCTTGGAAGGGAGTTGGGGCAGCTGCCGTCCTCTCCGACTGGACGCGGGGGTACTGGTGGGGCTGGTTTGGACCGATCCGCTACGGGGGTGCGCCCTATGGGACACAGACCGGTAAACATTCAGGCGACTCACACAAAGGTTGCAAGGAGGATGGATGAAGATCTCCTTCCGGGACCGTGAGTGGGGGGGGCTGGGGCAGGAGGAGGGGGTCGTGAGTACACCAGAGCTCAAAATTTCCGCTTCCTCATTTTGCGCTGAGCGGGACGATGGCATTGAACTTAATCCCAAAATACAAGCAAGCCACAGGAAGAGGATCAGCCATGGCAGGGGTGGAAGCCAAGCCATGGGGATCTAACATCGCTTCTCATGATGGCGGGAAAAATGAAAGGTTGACATGCGTAGATCCAGTGTAAGGATTGTACCATGTGTGGTTTACGCGTGTGACGGTGACACGTCCCGTACAATCTTTACCGAGCACAGCCGCTGGGCACCTGCGCCGCTCGGGGTAGCGCTCACCACCCGACTGGTAACGCATCTTCAACGTTAACGAGCTTGTTGAAACGGCGATTGCATGGCCCCGGCTAGCCTGCAGGCATTCGGCACAGGGGCTGTCCTAGAAAAGGCCCAGGTTTCATGATCCCGTCTCCATGGAAAGCGGGGAGGATGCCCCCTGGCCTGGATCTGTCACCACCAGGTGTTTAAATGAGCATCTTAAAGGCTGAGCTGTGACTCGGGGTAACTGCTCACTAGCAAACAGAAAGCTGGGGAGGGGGCCAAACTAGACTGACAATTTTAATAAGCAGAAAATATATAAACATTTCAATACAATGTACACATGCATAAACAGCCTTTTCAGGCATTTTCATGAGCTTTTAAGCTTTGCTATTGAAGTTCGTGTTCATATTCATGCCTATAGCTAGTGTTTGGGGGCTGCAGGAAAGTTTATCAACTTTATTTTTTATTATTTTGTTATTATACCAACTTTCCCCTCAGCCCTGTGAATGCAATTTTTATTGCATACATGCAAACATGGCCAGATGTTTCACATCAAATTATACATTCATGCTTCTCTTTCTTTAATGTCCTGCAAAGCATTTAACTGCTTGGCCAACCCTTTTAATCCAAAGCATGTTCTACTCAGGCTATGTGCATTCATAGAGCTGGATAGTTTTATCAGAACAGCTTAGCTTAGGTACTTGGCTATAAACACTCCAGGGGACCCCATGGAGGCTCGAGCCAATAGCCTTCAGGTTAAAGGACCTCAGTAAGCAGCTCTGAAAGGCACTCGGGTCAGGATCACAGAGCATGGTCACAGTGCCCAATGAAGACGCCAGGAAAGGAGGGGCCCCATGATGCCTCAGTTTCCCACCCACATTCTGTGGCCATGCAATCACTGTTCATCTCGTTGCTGATGCATCTCAGGAAATCAGGATTAATCAATAAATATAAGCAAAATAAACAATGAAGCACCAAACAGCCAAGCATGCCGGAATGTTCTACTGTGGTGTATGTATGTGTGGTGCACATACACAACCACGTATGTACCTTGTACATACCCACAGCTAAATATGCATAATTATACAATATTTGGCATTATTACTGAGATGGCCTGGAAAATCGCTAAGCAGTACCTTTAAATGTGTTTAAAGTCTGATTTCACTGGTAGATAAACAATAAAACAAATAAGTAAAAAATTTGCTACTGTGGCAGTTAACACTTCTGCATGCACAGTGCAACCACTGTATTACATCATATAAAAGTAACCTTAAGAAATTCTCTTTGATATTAACTAACAATCTAACCATATGAGGTGTTTCACAGCACCATGGTATCAACGACCAAAACTGAATAATTCAACATGCACATCCCACATCTTGTAATTTTCAGATATTAATTCTGCAGATTGCAAATGAAAGGTGTTAAGGAGGTTGTGCTAAACAGGGTAGCTGTATTAATCAGTCTGTGCTGAGTAGGAGCTACTGTATCAAACCAAAGAGCCCACAAACCCAAAAAAATAACCTAAATCAGGGTCTGTGTGTGGACAGTGTGCAGAAAAGTAACACATACAGATTGTGTCTCTGATTATTACATTGTGGGGGCCACAAAAACATGGAACTTTTTACCTTGTGGGGACATTTTTTGTTCCCTACAAGGATAACCTCAATTTTATAAAAATGTGTGAATGCAATCAAAAAACTGAAAAATACCAAAAGTCTTGTATTTTGGTTTGGTTACTTATGGTTAAGGTTAGGGCTGGGTAGGGGTTAAGGTTGTCATGTTCGGATTAGAGTTCTGCCCATAGAAATGAATGGAGAGTCCCCACAAAGATATGAACACATGGATTGTGTGTGGGTTGTGTTTGTGTATTAACTTGACAGACAGGGTGTTCCTTAGTCAAGTCTCCTGTCCCAGAGTATCCAAACCAGTCATTCCAATGGCAGGCAGCACACATCCGGTGACCCTCGGCAGAGCATGGATCACATATGACAGTATTGGGCCATATCAGTGTCACCTCTGATTGGAAGTTACGATTTGTCTCTTCGAAGAACGATACAAACAAATCTCTATGGCTCTAAAGTGCTTCAAGAGCATCAATTTACTTCCTCATGTATATGCATCTGTCACTTCACCAGAACCAGAAGTTATAATCCATTACACAAACTAAACCATAAACCTTAGTAAAGCCTTTACAGTTAGACCAGTAGGTAGAACCGTTGGAAGAACTTTAGGTAGAATCTTAGGTGGAATCTTTGGAAGAATCTTAAGTAGAACCTTTAGACAGAACCTTAGGTGGAACATTAGGCTGATCCTTTGGCAACAAAGGTACCTGTGCAAAACAGCAGCCACACATATGACACATGGTCAAATGATCATCTGGACAGACAACATGGCGTCTGCTCGAATTTGCAAAAAGAAAAAAACAAAAAATACACAAAACTCGGCTCACCCAAAAGGCTGCAAGAAAAGGGTGAGAGTAGCCATGAATGTCAAAATGCAGGACAACACCTGATGAGGCACGAGAGAAAGAAATCAACATGGAACAGATACCATCAAATGTCTGGTGTTAGTAAATAAAGTGCCATGGCCATCTCACACCATTATATTCCATCAGAATATAAGTAATGTGTTGTTAGTATGTGCCACGTCTACTGGGCTCATCTAAGATGGAGGGAAACAAAACAATCCAGCACTGTCGGTCTTGGAAGAAAATAAAATGGAGCTGGCAGGAAGGGGAGGCGGTGCTCGGGAAGGGGGGAGGGGTGGAGGTTTGGCAAAGAAGGGTCGATTAGCTGGGGCTGTTGAGATTTGCTTGGGTCACCTCGTTAAGGCAGGTGAGGGAGGGGCGGATCTTCCGGACGGTAAGGACGGCATAGACCTCATGAGGCTCGAGTCGGGCCGCTCACTGGACCGGGAGCGAGGGGCAGGGCGATCTACTGTGGGACGCTGGTCCGTGGACCGGGACCGGTGATACTCATGCCGGTCCAAGGCACCACAAGTCCTGCAACGTTAGTCAGAAAACCCGCTCAGTGTGGCCCCCCTCCTGGACCTGGATGAAGCAGAACAGGAGGACAGAGCAGCAAGGTGGGGGGGGTTTAGGGCCGTGAAAAAGGCACACTATGTGTTCTTCGGCCAGGCAGAGACAGGCTTGCCACTTCCTCGTGCTAGCATCTTAGCATGAGCCTGTTGCCATTTTAACATGACTGCTTATTGACAAGCCACTTACTGTCCACTTTTTTTTATGATCTGAACCTTTGATCAATAGATTAGCAGCAAATATTTTGTCACAAATTCTGGACCTTGGCCAGGTGGAAATGCTGATTTCCTGGACCTCCAGATCCCATGAGGGTGAAGGCCTTCTTGCTGCCCCAAATAATGTACCTTTTATGCTGCATTTAAATGAAATATTGACGAAGTTGTGGGTAAGGCTTCCTTTAACAGACAACCATGAATTTTTGGAGGCACTCTTCATGGTGGTCGCAGCTGTGAGTAATAAGTCTGAAATCATGTCAGTTCAGCAAAAAGACAGAATAAATCATTTCTGTTTCAGGATAACACTGACATAAATTTATAAACGAACAAACACATAACAGAAACACAAGTACACATAGACACAAATACGTACGTGAAGTACCTTATAGAACCAGGCTATGCATATATTATTATACACCATTTACACGGTGTGTACTGTATATATACAAACATAAAAGTCTCATCATCCAAGCACACACATTGAAACAGAACAATGAAAATTTACATCTGCCAATGGTGAGTATCATTAATTATACCAAGAGTTTGATCACTTTGGAAGTTTTGATGTTTGCCTGTGGACTTTCAGATTAAAAAAAAAAATTGTGATAAACAATTACAACATGCACTACAAAGTATAGGTTAAGTAATCCAAAATGACGATTATTTTGGTATGTACTCATCTTAAAAGGCTGTTTTTTGTCATTTCAGTTGAGACCAATTTTTTCTGGACACTCCTATACATTCGAACCTGACATCTCCCAGGGTGCACAGCAGTTTAACCTACACTGACACCTGCTGGTCCCGTGGCCAGGAAGCACTAAACACAATGGCTGAGTAAAGATGAATAGTCTGATTGAGGTGGAGTCCCTCAGCATGGACAGAAGATTTCCTGCAGAGGCGTGGCCACCAGTCGACACGCACAAGGGAGGTACCGTTTGTGACTGACTGACACACTGCGCTCACTCTCACTACTCTACCTCTACACATTAAGCAGAGAGGTTTGCAAAGAGTAACTCCAGCTTAATCACTATGAAGATGATTTATTTGTCAAGGTGTCAATTCACAGTAAACGGCAAAAATTCTCAGTTAATGTGAGAACAGTGATGAGGGTCATCGTTAATTACAAGATACAGCGCTGGCTTGGTTATATATGACAAACTTTTAACTCTGAATGCCAATTTGCTGTGGGTTTGACTCAAAGACATTTAATACTGTGAGCAGCTCCAGCACATGCAGACCTGAGATCCACAGCTGGCTAGCAAATGACAAAACTGGTGTAACCACTTACAGACTGATCACTAACTAAGTATGCTTTAGTGAATGAAAATAAATAATGAACAGCAAGACCTAATCACTACCACAGGAATATCATGAAACTGACAACTTATTGATGATGAAGTCTTTCCCGTACATAGGCAGCACCTGACTAAGCCTCTCTCGGCGTTTCCTGCACTCGCATTTCATCTCGTACCTTCCTGGAGCGGCGCGTGAGTCATCAAAGGTTCTCTCATCTTTCCCCCCTTAATCCTCCTATCCACAGTGGGAGGTGCAAGCCAGCAGCAAGCTGAATGGAACTAAGGAATCCATTCCAGTGCTAAAGGAAACATAGCTGCTGGTAATTTCTGTCCAACTCACACCCACAACCCCGACAACAAGAGCCCCTGGTGGCAGGAGAGTCTGCCGTGACTCCTTAACACATTTACTGTGATTCGATATACCTGCAAACAGCAGCGCGGTCTTCAGGGACTCAAAGTTCTCCTGTCTTGTTAAACATGTGTGGGTTCAGGTTTTGTGAGGGGGTGCTGAGGGGAGAAACCAAACTCATGGGAGTTTTACTTACACAAAAATGTTCTGAGGGCAAAAGGAAAAATCATTGGTTCAGAGCAACTAGAAGAAGCATGACCAAGACATCTTATTGGATGGTCCCATCCCCTCTAGTTGCTTGGAGCCACCTCCACAACAATCTGATTGGTTATCTCTCTGAACCAATCATTTTTCCTGCTCTCAGAACATTTTTGTATAAGTAAATCTCCCATGAGCTCGAAACCGGGGGGGTTACTATCTTGGATGAGTGACCCAGAGAGCCTAGAAGAGTGACTTATTCACCGTTAGCATGACACTAAACCTTTAGAATTGTAGTATTGCAAATGTTCAATAACAAATAGGCAAAATGTCTTCAAATTTAAACCACATTTGCTACTACTAACAATAATAACCTCACCCTTCATTGGCTATAGGCTCATACTTGTCTCCTCAAGACCATGTGTCTCTTTGGTCACCAAATCAATGCCGCTTTGAGATTCCTCCACCACATGACAAATGTGGTTCTCCAATGGCGGAGGGAGCTGCTGAACCTCGTTCGGTCATCAGACTCTCCCTCTACCTTCAAGAAACGCCTCAGTTTCCCAGAATGTTCGCAATGTTGCACTTTCTGCTGATCAAACAGTTGTCTTCCTAGGTTCTTGCTTTGTTTGTGTAGCTCTTGCTCCAATACTACTTAGACTTGTACCTGGGTATAGACTGCATGCTGAGCCTAGCTGCACTTATTTGTAGTCAACTATTTGTTGGTGATGTGCTGTTTGCCTCATTTACACATCACTCTGGATAAAAGTGTCTGCCAAATAAATCTAAATGTAAATAACAATAACAGGGTCACCATGGGAACAGTGTGAAGTTTTTGACCAGTAATTTGGAGGTGCAAATCCCAGGAAGCAAGTCACAGAATCAGGCTGACTACATCAAGCATCTAGGCAAAAATGAGTGCTCTCAGTAAGAGTTAACGCTAATTAAGGAAGCAATTCAACATTATTTACTCACAGAGCCAACATTATTTACTCATAGATAAAAATACACACAAAGAACGAAGTGGGGGGAAAAACAACGCAGACGGCTTACAGTCAAAGACAGCAGTACGTTCACGCCACATGGGGAGGCACATCATGTTCTGAGATCTTTCACTTTCCACTAGTAACATTGGCAGCCAACAAACCAATGTGCTAGCGAAAGGCGCTAACAAGTCCTGGAATGCTAACGTCTGTCCAGAAAAGAGTCGCCCACACACTTGCATGGTTCTCCACCGATTAAGGCAGTTGTGGAGGTCAAAAACTCCTCTTTTTTTTGACTCCTCAGAAAGATCAGCAATGATTCCACTTTAAATGGACATCATCGATGGCATGATCTGCACGGTCATCTCTTGACAATCGGACATGTTAAAAAAAGGTGTCACAGGACGACAGAGGACAAGGAAGAAGAAGAATGGTGTAGCGTTGATACCTCTCAAGGTCATTGTTATCACCGCCAGAATACGCATGGGCCTTCTTAGCCATGCGCAGTAACCTGACTGCATCTTCTCGACAGATAGGGTACACGAGATTGTCTCTGTCGCCAAAAAGACAACAGATCAGTTAAAAAAAAGAAGAAAAAGAAAACAAACAAATGAGAAGCATAAAAACAGACAGGATTATTTTTCCCTCCTTCTGAAGAAGACGGAGAACAAAACCAAAGGCCACGATAGGACCATTAGCTGTTAGCTTTAGCTACCATGGAACCCACATCAAGCATATATTATTGATATGTGTTCGATGCACTGAACCCACCAAACACCATACAGATAATTAGGATGGGGGTGTGCAATAACCTCTGCTGGACAACTCTGAACCAGAAAACCCTACAGGTTCCGCCTCAGTTCGATTTGAGGGTTCTCAGGTGGTCGTCAGATGAACAGGTTGAAGGTTTGCCTTTCATTCAAAGGCAAAGCCGAGATATAGAAGTACTCTTCCCTGGATGCTTGCTCACAGATTTTTTTTTCTATTCCTCAAAATATTCACATAAACACAAGGCAAAAGTACACACAAAGGTAGTTTGTGAGTAAAGAGACAATTATGAGGGTGTAAAAGTGAGTGTGAAAAATAATGCAGAATATGGACAAAATGCGAGGAGCTATTAAACATGGATTTCCCATGATCCTTCACAGCTGTAGCACAAACTCCCTGATCAGCATAGCTTACCTGTTCAGCACTAGCAAAGTCTCCCAAACATTTGTAATGGCAAAAATCTATATATTTCTCATTGGTTAGACACACTTTCACAACATACCAAACTATATTCACTGGCTACAACAATTGCAAAACTTTACAATTTGAAGCATGGGATTGTGGACAATGATGTAATGATACAGGATGCATGATGTCACTTCCCAGTTCTGGCTTCTCCCGGCTGAAGCGGCCAGTCATTCTCAAAGGGAGCAAATCTTTCCAGAATACTGGATCATCGCTGTATATACCTTCAGCTACTCCAATATTTATGCTTATGAATAAGTCACAAGCAAAAATTTAACAAAATGCTGTTCACAATAAGGAAAAAAAAAAAAAAACAAACAAATATGGCATGCTAATTTTTGCTGACCACCTCCTGAGACAGAGAACGACTCTGCGCAGATATCCTGAGCCTCTTCCCTAAGTCAATTTGGTGGCTCGGGGAAGAGTGAGAAGGCTCTCAACACAAAGAACACTCCGGTAAGTGCCAGAAGAACTGGAGCCGTACGTGTCTGGGACGACGTCGACTTTACCAACAAGATTTCAACGGAAGGAGGGAGACGGGCATGAGCGACACTCATGTCGTGGTCTACCTGGGTTCCCTCTGGTGGCGATCGATAGGCTGGCTGTGTCTCGATCGTGGTATCGTGAGATAATGGCTGGAACCACATGGAGAGAGCAGAAACAGCCATGAATGCAGCGGGATGAAGAACGGGCTGGAGAACATCACCAGCCTCTACTCTGTCATGGGGAGGGGATGGTCATGGGCGGGGGGTCATGGAAGGGGAGATGGTGCATCCTTAACTGAGATGCGCTGAGAGATGGTTGGATGCCAAGAGGGGCGTCGGGTGGCACGTTACCACCATCCTGCTTACTGCCCCTCAAACCCGAGTGCAGAGTGAAAAACTCAACCAGCACTCGCAAGCAGCACTTGGGAGCAGCAGAGGGTATGAGAGAGAAAAAGTGAGAAGAAACTCTGCTCCAGACCCTGAAGTCTTCTGGAACATTCACTTTGAAATGGTTCAGCCTCACAGCTGTGACGGGGATAAATTGTTTTGAAGATTACATCAGCGGAAATCACACATGGATTTGCACGCATGGCATGATTCTCTATACATTATGTAGATATTTTATGATATGAAAGTGGTTGTCCTTGCAGGAGATGTTTGTGAAGCTCTGAAGACACCTTCCAAAAATCACGTCATTAGAAAACGGTTATAATCAATAACAGTCACAGTAGTCATTTCCTAAATGTTGGTGCTAGTGTAGCATGACAAGTTATGTAATCTCTGCAAGACTGTACAGCACGTTTGCAGGCTCAGCTATGAAGAGATTCTGAAATACTAAGAAGTCACTTAGCAGTGCATCCATACTCTGAAATCCTGACAGGGGTTTTTAGGCAGGTTGCTTATTGACTGTGAAGATAGAATCTAACAAAAAAAAGTGGGTTTTGCCAATCCCTTGTTCAGGATCACAGGAAGTGAGAGCTGGCCAGTGGTATAATTTGGAGAACACCAGCAGGCATTTATTACCGCCCTAAATAATCCAAACAGTTCATTATTCAGTTCTAGTTTAATTTCCTACCATTTTCAATAAATAGGAGAGGAATGTATTTAATTAACTGGTGAAATACAGTCTAGTGAACACTGTCACACACAATTTAGATAAGTGCACTTCCTGCTTATGAGTGTGATTTAGGCCACGTTCCTCAAATACGACACAACGTGAATCGGGGGGGCAGGGGAAACTGGTGTCTGGGTGCACCCTGGATCGGTGACGTAAGCAAGGTGCGAGGACTTGCTAATTCTAAGCCAGCAATGATGTGAGGACCTCAGATCTCTTGGCGTAAAAGTAGGTGGGCTTGGGAAGGTAAAGGGTATCAGCAGCTGATACGATTAGAGGGAGTAGCTAAATTAAGGCTTTACTTCTTAAATTATGCACTTTAATGGTGAGCAGGAGTGAACCCTATGGTTCAGAATGTAGGTATTAGCTTTAACACATTTCTCATTACCATTCATCTGTGTCGATTTTGATATCGATGGTTTTATCAATGAAACATTACCAACTGTAAACTGTACTCATTTTTTTAAGAGGCACAAAAACCAGCTGAATGTTTAAAACAGCGACTTGACTCCATTTCCTGTGGAGCGTGCTGGACCTGAATGCTTGTGCTTACTTCATCAGCTAATCAATTAGCCTTAATTAAGCTGATAATTGTTTTTTTTTTCTGGAATATAAAACGGCAGCCACTTTCAGGTGAAGGGTCCCAGATTTACGCTTACAAAAGTGTGTTTTAACAACTTAAGAAATATATAGTGTATTAATAAATAGTCTAAAATAGTCTAAACCACCAACGTTCACAGGACGATGAGTATAAACAGCAAGCGTGTGCTTATACATATAACCGCATAACATTCAAACCGATGAAGGTGAACTCTTCGATTTAATGCAATGTAATATTTAATGCACTGCAATATAAACTAGGATATACCCCCCAAAAAAATGGTAATTTTTTTAGGACCAAGCTTATGTTTTTATTTATTTTTCCCACTGATAAACCTTCACACACACACAAAAACACTGCTCTCCAGTGAACTGGTGTTGACCCACTGACCTACAGCAGAGATGCATCGACGGGGAGGACAGTGGAGACGAGGCTTGGATCTGGTTCTGGATATGATACAGTGCCGTTGGGGCCAGAACCACAGACACTGAACAGCATATAATTTCAGATGGACTTTGTAAATATACTGGATGTCAGCTTTATAAAAAAGATATGTTGGAAAATAAAGGTCTTCACAGATCAGTGCACTCAGCCAGCCAGCAGATGGAGGCACGGCGATAAAACCACGGGATAGGAGCTTCAAGGTGGGTTACAGGGAGGAGGGGTCTGCCGTACCTGTCGGGGGAGTAGCGGTCTTCTGACATGTGATGCCGTTCCATCCTACCAGTGGTGTGGTACTGCGAGGGCGGCCCACGGTCACCGTGGTCCAGGCTCCGACTGCGGGCACAGAGCGGGAGCCCCGTCACTCGTGCCCATGCTGCTCAATGGATGCCAGCTCAGAACAGCGCTGGCTGTCACACTGCCCCGGCGTGACAGGCCGCAGACGGACCGATCGGCACAGGCTCATGCTCTCGTCGGCAGGGTGCAAATTCCCACAGGAAGCCTTTGCAGGGGCACGTATGGTCAGGCACGCATTAAACACTTACAGACAGCACAAACAGCTTGCAACAATGGCCAACCAACAAATAACCTTAATGGCAGTGACGAGAAGAACAAGGCCTGTGAACAGATGGCGGGCGGGATTTACAGCGAGGTGTCAATCACTGCCTAGGTTAACCAATGGGAAGCAAGGAGATAACCAACAAAAAGTGAGCTAAACACATGATAATCCCAATATTAACTTGTTTTTCCTATCTCTCCTTATTATTAATAAGAATAATAATGATTATTTAAAATGCATGGTCTGTTTGCTAAACCTTTGCTTTCAGACTTGCGTTTTTGCCTATGGCCAAATAAGGCCATCCGCCACTCCACCCAACATGCATCAGGTTTCTACCGCTCCACCCATCATGCATTGTGGGGCAGGGGGGCGAGCTGGGTTACCTTTGCGGAGGCGGGACGCTGGGCGAGCGCGAGCGCGCGCGGCTCGTGTCCGCTGACCGTGAGCAGTGGTTGGATGACATCACCTGCTCAGGAACGGAGAGCGTGGAGCTCTGGAGATCCCTGCTGTTCTGTCTGTAATCTGGAAAAGGGGATGGGGGGGGGGACAGAGCTGGGGGTCATGCTTTTTGCGGGACTGGGTGCCGCAAATCGCCGTCTAACGCTTCTACATTTCAAAGCCTGGGAGAGAAAAAAATACTGCTAGCAGGGATTAGTCTCGATAATGGCTTCTTCCTGGGGGACTTATCAGTCCAGTGGGCCTGAAAGAGTCCATTATCCAGTAATCTGTGGCGGCGGCAACCGTCGCCAAGGTCACGGCCTCGGTGGGTCCAGTGCCAGTGACATGCAGTGGGTTGTACAGGACTTTAAAAGGCTTAAGAGTGGACCAAAAACAGGGTTAGAGGGTGGCACTCAAAGTCTGCAGTGAGGAAGGGAAAGAACAAACGTAAAGTTAGAGTACCACTTTTTCTGAATCATCTGAACTACTGCAAGAGACTGAAAAACTGAGCATTTTCTAGTCCTCGCAACTGCAAATGTCTCACAACCTGTCAAAATGATGATCATAATTACCATGCATCCATCCATACATCCATCTTCTGTAACAACCTACCCTATCCAGGGTTACAGGCATAGTTACCAGCAAATCCAAATATAACCAAGATGGTTTTCCTGAAGATTTAGATGTGACATTTGTTTGACATTAAATTACTACACCTGTGAGTCTGCTTCACCCAAAACCAGAAAAGTTTACCCTAAAAATGGGATACAACTGTAATCCTGTCTTCCTACATATCTAACAATAATAATAATAATATCTAATTTGTAAATAAAGTCTTTTGCACATGGTGTCATTTTAAACACAAACTATACACCCATTTTCAGCAATACATCAGAATTATTTGAAATGACATTTGTAATCAGCTTTCTGTATAACTCTTAAACTATGAGAATTTGCAAAACCATTAAGAAGCCAGTGATCGTGTGAGTCCAAAATCCAAAAGGGAGGTTTCCCTTCCCCCGTCCCACGAGATGCCATCCTGCACTGTCAGGCTGACGTGGGAGAACGGTGGGCGGCCAGCCAGTCTGGAGGGGCCCCCCGCCGTGCTCCAGCATTGCGTGTTTCAGTGAACTGGAGTCCAGGGCTTCCCCCCCCAAGGGAGACACACTTTTACAGATGGACGGTCGAGTCTGTCAGCCGTCAGCAGTGAGACTTTTTCCTTTTCTTTTTAAATTCCGAAAACGGCGTGACTCACACAGGAGAAATCTATAACCCCCCCCTGAATGCTAATCGACCCCCCGCCAGAGCTTTGCCTCAGCAGACTGAAATGGGGTCTCCAGAATCAGGAGGAAAGTGGGACCATGAGAATACTGAAACAGAGTAGCAGTAAATGGAAAGGGGGGGGGGGGCAGCAGTTGAAGGAAATTCTAAAAAGACAGAGGGGGTGGTGATGGGAGGTGTGGAGGGGTGGGAGGGAATTTCTCTCTTCCCCAATTTCTGATTGATGCTCCCCAATTCAAAAAACACCACTATGTGATACTGCAGTTCAGGACAAACCCCAAACACCAAATTCATTTTGAAACTCACCACATTCCTCCCACTCCATTACAAGCTCACGCTCTTATTGCGAGTAGGGCGCGCAAACATATCGGCCGCAAAGTTAGATAACAGGGAACAGGAGCGGATTTGGGGGAGTTACAAATAAGCGGGCATCACAGAGGCGTTATGAAGGATCCGGACAGGCCCAGTTTCCGCAGTGAACCCGACACTTTATGGTCCAACAGGATTGACGCGCGGCAGGTAACTGAGGAGGTCGTCGCTGAGACGGATCGCGGCGCAGTGCGTAAAAGAAACCTGAAAGGCGAGACACGGATGGGATCAGGACACATAACCGGCAAGGAGGATGATCGGAAAGAGAGCCTGTATACTCCAGTCTGGATTCGCTGGGGGGGCACGGCTGAGGTGTGTGCGGGTTACGTACTCGGCGTGATCTCCGTCTCTTTACCTGATACTACTCCAATTCCGTCCTCACAGTCGTAGTCAGAGATTTCACTGTCACTGATTCTCTGGGATCCTGGGTGGAGAGAGAGGGAAGGAGGGAGGAAGGGGGGGAGGGTTGTTTAGTGATGTCCATGTCAACAGCCTGGAACTGGGAGGGGTCATCAAGGGCCGATCCCCCCCCCCAGACCGTGCAACAACGGAAATCACCAAAACAAGACCTCCAAAGGACAGGACTAACAGTTCACCTGGGGCAATGGCGAGACTACGCCACCAGGTGGACACAAGCAGATGGACAGTGAGCACACACTGATGTGGAGGACAGACCATCAGTTTCTGGAAATCGCATACATCAAAAGCTAGACTGACGTATCGGTCACCAACAACAGAGGCAGCAGGAGGGCCTTTTTAAAATAAAATAGTACTATATGGGCCAATTAAGAAAAAACACCTCCACATAACGTACTATTCTTCAGAAATGTATCACTTCAGTGTGACATTTTTAGAAAATATTAGGTCTGGAAACTTCTGAGGCTTCGGCAGCCGGTGTGAAAACTGGAAGACAGAACGGTGCCATATTTCACAGGTAACAGGTCAACAGAAGCCGCGTGACAGAAACATTCCAGAAGTATTCTCTCCACACATTCGGATATTCGGTCAAGTGCTAAAACGTTTCCGGAAGCAATTTTTAAATCCTTTTTTTTACATTCAAGTTTATCTTTGACTGAGAAGGAATCTGCAGTTCAAAAAACATGTGATGGTTTCCCAGACTGATCTGCGCTCTCAGTTGGCAGCTTTCTGGCTCTGATCTCATCCGGTCACCTTAAATCCACCGGCCTCCACATGTGACCCTCTCAGGTACAGAGGCGTCCAACTCTGACTCCTCGGCTCGCGTCGCTGGACACCAGACAGTAGGCAGAAGAGGAATGAATTAAAGGGCCCAATTAAATATTAAGATTGTTTTTGTTATTGCAGTTGCCCAAACATACCAGCCTTCCAGAACACTGCCTCAATAAACTGCTCAACCAGTGAAACCAACAGACGTGCGCCATGGACACAGAACACAATTGACACGTAAGCACTTGAAGGGAAACAGAGTCACTGTCAGAGGAGTCACGACAGGTAGAGCCGGTCAACAAAGGAAATTATTAATGTTTCGTCAGTAAAAAAGGGAGCCCAAACCGACCGTAACGATAGCAAGGGGTGGGGGCTTTATGGCACATCGTACTGACGCGAGCCAGGGTGGGAAAGACAGAGCAGAAGAAGTGCTTCTGGGAGAACCAGAGGGGCAACAGGATGGCTCAAAGGGATTAGAGGGGGCATGTGGATAAGATGTAAATGTTGGGGTGTGAAGTGAAAGGGGGCAAAGTCCAGCCGAACAGCACGCTGACGTCGCTGATCTACACACTGCATTATCCGAGTTGTACAGGAACGGGTCTTTTTCTGGCGGCGGACAGAGCAGGTTGAGAAAAGATGAAACACAGGAAAATGGGTCAAACACTAGCATCCGTGGAAGTCCATTCTCTTCGTAGGGGCCTGAGCGCAGGGTAGATGGGGAAAGGTACAGAATAGCTCCCTTTCAGTCATTTAGTTTAATGTCAGGCACACAGGACACAGAAAGCAGACAAAGGTGGGGCTGAATGCCACAACCTGCCGTCGTTAGGCTGGGGAGCTAATCAGCAGCCCTGTGCCAAAAACAGCCCAGCTGATCCTGATTAGGGATGCTGTCCTCATTATGGTGTAAACAGGGTCAGCTGGGAGGATGAGGGAGATGCTGCTGGATATTTAGGGCATTATGGTCACAGGGGGGCTGGAAGGGTGTTTAGTCTGCTGTGTCTCTGCGCGTTGCAGGGATTTCTTTTGTTAGTTTTGAAGAGACGCTTTAGCAACGATTCTTAAATATGCCTCGTTCCCATTTCGTTCGGTTATTTCCGGCAAGTCCCTTGCTTTCCTGGGCCTTCCGTCTCAGCGCCGTGATAGACCTCAGCCCCACCAGAACGAAACATTGTAAAACTCTGTGATTATTATGGAGTGCATCACACTGCCTATCAAAACACACTTAGAAATACTTTGAGAACAACCACAGATATCAGACTCATGTTCAACGTTCACACAAATACACAAAGCAAAATATACCAATGTTTTACTCCCCTTCAGACTAATCAAAGATTAGGTAAAAAGAATCATGGTGGTAAAAGTTACTCCAAGACCCAGGAGGATTTAGCTGTACCATTGAGCTAAAAACATAGTTTCTAACAAAATAGTTACCTGGGTAAATGGGAAGTTAGTGGACTGAGTGGTTAAACAGCAAGAAAGAAGGTTGATTCCCCTACCTACAGAACATTATCAGAGACCCGTGATCTCAAGCTCTGCATTTAATCCACTTTAGTTCACAATGTAGCTTTGGCACATAATTTCACAAAACAAAAACACAATAATGATCACAGACATGAAGAGAACGAAAACAGAATGGCTGTTACCTCACGGCACAGGTAACGGCTGAAAGAGAAGGGCCACGTGGCGCAGGATACCAGTGTGTCTCTGTGGTGACGCTGAGTGTAATGCAGGCAGTGAGCGAGCGCCATAGGGGGGCCATTAATCCGGGAGGGGGGTTAACTGCGAGGCTAATGACAGCAGCGGAGGCAGATGTTCCACCGCGGGTCGCCACGGCGACGGCGGAGTGGCAGGGAGGGGACCTACTCTGCAGCCTGGGTGTGGGACTCCCCCCGACGGGCGTCCTGCGCTGCAGCTGGGGTGAGGGGCGGGGCAGCGGCATGGAGGACACTTCGTGTGTCTGTAGCTTATACCAGTGTGGCTCGTCGTCCAGCAACGCCGTCTCCAGCTCGATCAGGATCTGTAAGGGGGGGGCACTGGACATCAAGGCTCGCTCTCTGTCCATCCTCAGGCATGCGAGACACACCCCCGAGCCCTAGGCCATGCGGGGGGACACCAGAACAAAGCCCCAACGCAGAAGGATCCAAATGGAGAAGCACAACCCAAAAACATTGCTCAGATCCCTCATACAGGTGGCGCTCTTCTTCACTGCAGTATGACTGTACTGATGTTTTTATTAAAAGCTTGAATGAGCCAGTGGGGTATTTTAGTCACCAGTGCGGGGAACATTACATGTATTAAAAAAAAAAATCTCAGATCAGATCTTGCTTGCATCCTGCGAAGACTATTCCATAGGTTTACTAGGGTCATTTACTGTACAACCATTTTTCTTTTAACTTTTCACACATTTCAGAAGACTTACATGAGCTTGGAGAGTTTGGAAATATTCCACTGTTTCGCTGTCCATATGACTCACATGCTGCCCTGGCCATTTGATTTGCTCTTACTGGGTCAGGTGGTAAGATACTGTAATACTGTGCAGGAATATATTTTAAACACTCAATGTGGACCCTTAAAGATGTGAATAAGATGAAATGTTCTCTGGCTGGTTGACAGCCAAGAAAAACAAGGCAGTGAGCCAGGGAAAAGCAGTCCAGCAGCAAATAAACTTGACAACACTGACTCCTCCCACTGCAGCTTGGCATTATGGGAAATGCTCACTACCAAATGCATTCCTGTACTGTACAGGAGTATTCACTGAATTTTGGAATTGTACGTTCCAAAAGTAAGAGTCATTCATTATTCTAATTATTTAAATGAATAGATTTCTTATCTTTCTGAAATTTGATCACTTCAGTTCCTTGATTTGATCTCGGGGACTTTTGGTGTATCCATTGTATCAGTTATGTATCAGTTATCTAATCATTTAATTGCCTTCAAATTAAATATTCCCTGAAGTCTACTATAAATATTCCCATGCAACAATAATAATAATGATGTACTTTATTTCCTCTTTCATTTTCCCTAACCCACTTACAGCCCACGACCTTCATAACCCTAACCCTAACCCTAACCCTAACCCTAACCCTAACCCTTTTGACCAGATCCCTAAGGATAATTCATTCATCTCGGTCCTCACTGCCCCAAGTCAGATTCCAAATTTCATTCTCTCATAATCCAAGTATCTTGGTACTATTGAACACAGAACCAATATGGTCGCAGGACCCACACACCAGTGACGTCCACTGTCCCCTTACCTCTCCCAGGAACTCACTCTCCTCTTCTCTAACCCGTGCTTGGTCCCAGAGCGTGATCTCCAGCATTCGCTCGCGGAACTCCCGCCGGTGCACCGGTGAGTACATAAACGTCTGGTTCCATTTGGGCTCTAATGATTTCTTTACTGTTTTTGTTCTTCTCTTGCTCTTATCACTGGAGGAACAATAATTCAAACTGTTTTTATTTACCACCGAGGTATGAGATTCTGAGGGTGCCAGAAACAAGAATCACTGAAAGATAAAAGAGGGGCGGAGACTGTGCTCCCTGTCCAATCATTCCTCTACAGCAGCTGTTAATCAAGCCAATTAACAGTTCCCTTCCCTAAAGAGCAAAAACAAAGGCATGGATGAGAGGCACGTTTGCTTAAAAAAAACCCACATGAATACCCTATGAAGCATGAAGACCATAAAACTGGAACTTAGGACATCAACAAAGCATTGAAATGGTGTTATATTCAATTATATAAACACACAAGGAAGCACACAAGCTGTCTGCATCTATTCTTAGATTCTAACTTCAGGAACGAAGAGGCCCAAACTATTTATACTCTTACCTTCTGTCGGGCAGGAAGTAGATTTTTACGTAGGGATTCCTCGGCCGCCCGTCGTCCCTGGAAGGCAGGTCCTTTGCTCCCAAAATTGTGACAATGAGCTGGTGGCCCACTTTGTCGTACCAGAGTTTTACCTGCGGGGGGAGACACCGGTTCTGCACTGAGTGCCAGGGGGGTGCGTGAGTGTTGGTGGGAGGGTGGAGGTTGGGGTGGGGGGGGGGGGGGGGGG